ATTCACCACTCAAATACTGAAAATTTAAAGAGCAAAAACTAAACAAAACCCAAACAAATAAAAACTAAATCTTGTCCTGGAGAGAGATTTTATTTCTACTAAAAACAATTTGCTTAAGCTATTTAACATAGAATGGCTGCATTTGAAGTTATATTGTTCAGGCATAATTAATAGCAAATGCCTACAGTCTATCATAGTTCTTAACTATCCTAGACTATGATAGACTGTGGTTCTTCACTTCTACAGTTCTTAATTTCCAAATGCAACAAAAGGGTGAGGAGAAGGAAACTAAGACTGACAAAATAATAACATAAGTTAAATAAATGCCTGGAATAAGACTGGACAGAATTTCAAACAATGATCCTGTTGTGTGTATAGCTATCTACTTCCGCTTTCCCCAGAGCACTTGGGTCAGGGAGTGGTGAGTCCGGCACCAGCACAGGACAAGTTCTCAGGGGGTAGTGCCCAATAAAGGAGCGAATGCAGTTAATGGACTTTTTGCCTCTATAGGATCTCTCTTAAACCACCCTAAATAAATTGGAATCCACATAATATGATGCAAAATAAGATTCTTCTGTTTTTACAATAAAAATACAAATATCATGTAGTAGTTGTTGACAAAGTCCATGAAAAGTCAGCAGTAATTTAGGAAAAGTAACCAGAAAATCAAGTTATACTGCTTGTACCCTGAAACAGTAACTCCCAGAGATTTTGAATGCTATTCTCAGTGGTTCACTGATCATGGACACACGCTCTCCTTATTCCAAATAAGGAATAGCACTGACTGATTACTTCAAGTAATTGATTTACATTTGCTTAAGAACTTTGCAAAACATCAAAATGGTAGAGAAGAAGAGAGAAGGAGTCAAAGAAAGAGAAGAGGGAGAGAAAGATTGATCCTGATACAGTGGAGAGAACGTTAGAGAGGGAAGATAAAAATTTAAGGCAGCCCCGCTACTATCTCTTCATAAGGACACTGGCCAAGGGACTTGGGCTTCCCATGCTCAGCTCCTCATCTCTGACATGAGGTGTCCTGGGAGAAAGCAGCAGCGAAAAAGCTTGAGAATAGTTGTGCTGATGCATGCTTTAAAATGTCTGGTGTAAGGTCAAAGAGCCCAGATCTCACAAGAAGGGTTTCTAGAACACATTCGTTTCATGTATTTCTTTGAGATCGAAAAAGTGCAATTCAGTGTATATTTGTTCAATGAAAACTATTCAATACATGAGGGCATTTGCTAAAAGACGTGAGAGTTACATGACTTGCTGAAACACATTCACATTGATACCAAGATAAGAACTATGATATTCAATTTGTGTGAACTTAATAGGGCCACAAGATGCCCAGACTTTTGCCCAAACGCTATGCTAAGAGTGTTTGTGAGGGTGTTTCTGGACGAGAATAACATTCGAATTGGTAGACTGAATAAAACACACTGCCTTTCCTAAAGTGAGGGAGGGCCAGCAAATCAACTGATTCCCCCCCGACCAAAACAAAAAGGTAAAGGCAGCAGAGGAACCTCCTGCTGCCTGACTGTGTGAGCTGGGATATTGTTTTGTGATCTTTTTCCCAGACTTCAGACTCAGCCAGAAAGATTAGTTCTTCTTGGGTCTCGCGCCTGGCAGCTTTGGGACTGGCATTTGTACCGTCAGCTCTCCTAGGTCTCCAGCTGGCTGACTGCATACATTCCATACATTGGGACTTAGCCCTCATGCTCACATGAGCCAACTCTTCATAATGAAACTGTGTATTTTTTTCTGCTGGTCCTGTTTCTCTGCAGAACTCTGACCAAACTCCTTAGCATGGTCAAAATGCCCTATGTGACCTGACCCCTACCTCCCCCTCCAGCTACTTTGCATGTCATGACGCCCACCTCCTCCTCTGCAGCCTCGCTGGTTTTCTCCCACACGCCATGCTCCTCTGCTGTGGGGTTTTCAGTCACTGACTCATTCATTCACAGACAAACTCAACTAATTATTGGGTTCCTACTATGAGTCAAGGACTGTGAAGCATGGGGAATATTATTATCTGTGAACAAGACAGCAAAGTGCCTAGTCTCATGGAGAATGTAGTCTGGTCACGGGACACAGAAATAGCGTATAAACAAATCATTTAAGAGCATTACCTGTGCTTCAGAGGAAACAAAACAGTGAGCAGTGGCAGTAAGTAGGTGATTAGAGAAAGGCTCACTCTGTAGCTGCCTCTTATGCTGAATTCTGTGTGATAAGAAGGGGTGAGCTGTTCTATGATGCTCTGAGAAAGGTATGTTCTAGGCAGAGAGAACAATAAGCACAAAACTGAGTCTGAAATGAGCTAGAAATGGAAAGAAAGAAAGAAAGAAAGAAAGGAAAGATATCGTAGCTATATCACGGTGCAGTGGTGAGAGAACATAGATAGGTAGGCAAGAATGAGATAGGTTCTTCATAGCCAGATAAGAATTCAAGTTTTTATTTTAAACATATTCCGTTCATTTAAGTTGCTATAACAAAAATACCATAAACTGGGTGACTTATAGAGAACAGAAGTTTACTTCTCACAGTTCTGGAGGCTCTGGAGTCCAACATCATTGTGCTGACAAAGTCAGCGTTTGGTAAGAGCCTCGTCCTCTTTGGTGGCCATCAGTCCTCTTGCATGGCCATCTTTTCAGTGTAACATGGTAGAAGGAGCTGGGGAGCTCTCTGGGGTCTCTTTTTACAAGAACATTAATCCCATTCATGAGGGCTCTGCTTTCATGATTTAGGTACCTCCAAAGGCTCTGCCTCCTCATACATTAGGGGTTAGGATTCTTTTTCTTTTTAAAAATTCTTTTTTTAATTTTAATTGTTGCTCAAGCACAGTTTTCTGTCTTTTACTCCCATCCCCGCCCACTTCCCCAGCCCTCCCCCACCTCCCTTTTGTTTGCACCCCCCGCCCTTGTTTTTGTCCATGTGTCCTTTATACTCATTCCTGCAAATCCTTCCCCTTTTCCCCTGAAATTCCCTCCCCGGGATTCTAACATATGAATTTGGGGGAAACGCAAACATTCTGATCATTCATCAGAAGGTTTGTGAGTTTGGCATGAACCGATCTACATTTTTTATTTTGTGTTGTAGTGTGTACTGTGGACATGGAGAAACCAGTGAAAAGATTTGTAATAATGGTGAATGACGATAATAGCTTTGACTGTGGTAATGTAGAAGAAATGAAGAAAGGGGAAAAAAAGAAAAGAGATGAAGAAGGAATGATCAAGGATGTTTATTGTTTGGAGGTGCAGTAAGCAAGAATGGCCAATTTGCCTGGGATAAAGAATGAATGTTTCCTAGGTTTTTGACTTGAACAATCAGCTGGAGGTTGGTACCATCTTCTGAGAAGCAGAAGTTGTAGAGCTAAGAATGGGGTTGGAGGAGGCAAAGTGTAATTTGCCTACACTCTCCCACTCTTTGGACTGTTTTTCCCTCTTTTCACTAAGTTCACCCCTTCCCAGTCTTTGGATCTCAGCTCAAATGTCACTTTCTCAACGAAGTCCTTTCCCCAACCATGCAGCTCAAACAAAACTTTTGTATTAAGTACATGCTTTCTCGGTGCCATGTACTTTCCCTTACTACCTGTGTTATGTTGCAAAAGTGGCCACTAACATGTTGCCTCTCTTGGATCTCTGAGTGAGGCCATCCTAGCTCATCTAGCCAGCAGCAGACCCACCAGCTGACCAAAAAGGTGTGAAAGAGCCCAGCTGAGCAGAACCAAAGTACAACAGAAGAACCACCCAGCCCATTCAGAGAATCCTGAGTTGGCTAAAGGGCTGTTGTATGCCACAAAGTTTTGTGATGGTCTGTTGTACAGCACAAATTGATACAGTAGCACATACCTCATATGCAGTTTCACATATGTGTTTGACTGGTGTCTATTCCTCAGAGTCCGAGTTCTATAAAAGCCAAGACTGCTGATATTAGATCACCACTCCATGCTCAGGGCCAGGCATTATATCTGGAATGCACTAGGCATGAAATAGACAAACTGCTGAATGAGTAGAAGGGGGGAAGAAAGGTGTACATTATAACATGAGAAAATAAGAGCGCTTCTCTAAAAGAGGGAACAAGACTGGGGACACACACTAGCCCAAAACAAACTTGGAGCAGTATAATATGCTGTGGAGTATAAGATGAAAATTGCATTTTCTCTGCCTCCGAGAGCTCAAAGTCTAGACTACAGAAGACAGTACAAAATACAGAATATGCTGCATAGGAAGGGGCCCCATGGCTGTCTGGAAGCGGGAAGTGTGGGAGTTGTCTGGGAAGGTTTCTTGAACGAGAAAGTGTGAATAGTCCTAAAGGTGTTCATTGGAAGAGTAGCACAGACAAGATCAAGAAGCAAAGTGCATGGGTGTTTAAAGAAAAGTCTCCTGTTTGTTATATATCTCAAGGTATTGTTACAGTTTAAGTATCTGTCTCCTGGGGGGGGGGTCTTATTATCTTTTAATTATTCCCAGGGTCTAAAGCAATTTTTTCCACAAAATAGGAACTCAATAAATATTTGAGGAATAAATCAAAAGTTAAAGATGAGGCAACCAGCCCTGCTCCTTCCAAAGGCAGCTTCCAAGGGCTACATTTTCAGATTCGACACGGAGATTCAGACAAGGTGAATGAACCTATATTCTAAGACTAAATGTCTTATAAGCAGAGACTGGACCCCCACTGGCCTTTAGTTTTGCGTTTCTGGTGGGTTAGCGTGGACTTTCCTTCCTCTGCTCCCAGTCCAGCATGCACCTACTGGAGTAGGGCGCTAGTTCCCTGCAGCTCTCCAAGAGGACGAAAGGCCTGGCTGCAGGGACCGGCGTCCTGGAGGAGCAGATGCTCGAGGCGCGCGGAGCAGCTCAGAGGTGAACGCCGCAGCCCCTCGCTCGACTGCACCGCTCGGCCCTCCGTACGCCCAGGCTGCACCCTCGCCACCTCCAGCCTTGGCCTCGGGGGCGCGCGCCGCGTTGCTGTAGAAACTCCGGGAAGGCGCGGCGGCGCGCGGGGCGGGCTCCCGGGCTCCGGCAGCGGAGGCGGTTCCCGCCCCTGCGCAAGCCCGGGCCCCGCGGATCCCGGTCGTTGGACCCCAGAGCAGGGTCTACGTGGTGCGCGAGGCAAGATGTTGAGGCGCAGCTTGGAAAACCGGTAACAGCCCCGGGGTCCCCGCTGCCCGGGGTGCCCCACACGCTAGGGCTTGGTAAGGGGGGGAAGCGGAATCTCTCTCAGTGGGGCCTCCGCCCCGAATTCGGCCTCGGGCCGGCGGCTGGGCCCTTCCCGCTGCACGGTGGGGCCTAGACCTACCTCCCCGGGCTGCAGTGAGCCCAGGTAGTAGTCGGATACCCCGGCTGAGCAGCCCTAGCAGCCGCCAGACTGCAGCAACCTGGCGGCCAGAGCCCGGCCTCTTCGTGAGCTTTCCCTGTGGGGATGTTAAGGCTGGGCCCGAATGGGGACCTAGGGGAAAGGGAATTGGCCTCGGGAGAAACTGCAAAACGCCTGGGGAATATTTGCATATAAATTTAACGTGGAGATGAAGCCATCTTGTCCCTAACAAGAATGATTAGATTTGTTTTGTCATCTTTTTCTCTAGGGATGCTCAAACCAGACAACTGCAAAATGCTGTCACAAATGTGGAGAAGCATTTTGGGGAGCTGTGCCAAATATTCGCTGCTTACGTGCGGAAAACTGCCAGACTGCGAGACAAAGCAGACCTCCTGGTGAATGAAATAAACGTGTATGCCTCTACAGAGACCCCAAATTTAAAGCAGGGCCTGAAAAACTTTGCTGATGAGTTTGCCAAACTTCAGGATTATCGACAAGCAGAGGTATGGCGTGAGGTCACATCGTCATTGTTATGAATGAGGCCTGCACTAGTGGATGAAGGAAACATGAAGACTCACTTGTAATCTTCAGTGGTGAACATGCACTTGATGCTAAACCTACCTTTTTATGTCTGTAACACTGTGTGAGTCTAGTAAAGGGAAGCTTCCTGTGATTTTACCGTTTTCAAACTAAAACTTCAGGGTGTCTCCCATTTCATTTTCCAACTTTTGGCCAAGGGGTGGCTATTACAGGGGGTCTTAAACATAGTGCCCATGAGAACGGAAAGGAGCATGACTTGTGCCTTGTGGCCAGGTAAGTATAAAACATGTCTGGATTTGGAGGATGTTGGGAATGGTGGTGTGAGTGAATAAGTCATAAATGGACAAAAGGTCTTTGCTGCTTCCTTGCTGGGGGAAATTTGTGGGGGCAGGGAGGGGAATAAGCACTGATTTATATTGTGGATGCAAGCAAGTAGTGAAACTTTGTCGCGATTTTTTTGTTGTTGGTGGGGAGAGGGAAGAAGTTGTCATTGTTTTTGTTCCAAATGCCCATTTTTCCTTTAATGACTTATAAGCACGTTCAGTTATATTTATTTTAGGTTTCAAGACACAGGTTAACTTGTCAGAAGTTGCCCAAATTAGCTGCACAGCACTTTTCTCATCAGTGCTTTGGTCTTTAGGGTTTTTTTCATTTTCCTAAAGCCTAAAACAGCTCAGTTATCCAAAAAGAAATGACTATAATGATCTTCGAACCTATAATTGCTATTCATACAGAACTTTGAGCAGTAATTACTTTTGGGTGTACTTTTTGGATAACTTTTGTCATGTATTTCTTCTGTAATAAACAACTTTCAGTTATACATAACTGGTGACTATTTCAGAAGTAATATATGTGCACAGGTAATCCTAAAATTCTGTTAGTCATTTCAGTGTGCCTTTCAGAAAACCTTTGTGCTGTTTATCAAAGAGCAAAGTGAATTGATTCACTTCTGTTCTCCTTTTTATTTCCCTTGCTTACCAAATGGTGGAAGTGCTAATGAACAATGACCAAAAGGTAGGCAACAAAAAGGAGAACAGGAGACTTGGATAACCCTACACTGAGTAATCAGTGTATGGATTATTCACAATGGTATAGACTAAACTGAATATTGATGGTTTTACTTTAGAATTCCTAATATTTAAATGCTCGATGAGAACTTGATTTTCTTTGTTTTTCCTAAAATCTTAAAATGAAACATTCAGATAGGTTTTATTTTTTAAAAAATATGAAATGTACTCACTGAGTATTTAAACATGTATCATCAAAAAAGGCCCTTTTTCTTGCTACAAAAATAATACATATTCTTCTTAAACAGTTAAATACATGTCATCTTGTATTACCTATCCTGAAAAAGAATATTTTAACGTCCAAGAGTAATTTTTTATGCTAGATACTTGCCTTTTCCCTTCAGTGTTTTCCACTAGTGCTATTAGTGAAAGAATTACCAAAAATATGATAAAAAATGTCATGTTTCAGAAAAACTGTTTACTTCTAAATAAAAGAGCGCAACCATACATTTTGACAGCTCAGGAACTCTTGAGACCATTTATCTTGTTCTCTATGCTTTGATAATCTGTGAATGGCTTCCTAGGGAAAAAATGCAGCTAATACATTTTTAGCTACATTTAGTGGTCTCTAAGCATTCTTGATTTTTGAGGATTGTGTTGCTTTAAATATTTCCCATATTCTGTATTTTTCAGCATTGCTTTTCTTGTCTGGAAGGTTGGGCTATTAATTTTGGAGGATATATATTCAAAATGTCCAACACTGAGCTAAACACACTCAAAGAGATAACTATTAAAAGTTGAGATGTCTTAAACCTTAGCCAAAAGCTCCACCTTTGAGATACAAAGTAATACAGAGGTGATGGTGTGGTAAAGATGAACTCTTTGGAAACCTGAGACATTTTCTTGTCATAATGGGTACCAGGTCTTTTCTGTTTTGTTACTGAATAAACTAACAGTGTTTAATATGCTTCATGTGCTCAAGTTTAGATGCTATGCCGTAAGTAACTGTGGTGATTATTAAAGATAAATTGAACTGTGACATTCTAATTTAAATTTTTTAAAAATTATTCTATGTAATAGGTTTAGGTTAAACACATCTCTTATTTCAGAATTAAAATTTTGATCTGTGTTTCTTTTCAGTTATATTTTATAATAATTTTCAATAGGTTGAAAGACTTGAAGCCAAAGTAGTTGAACCATTGAAAGCTTATGGAACCATTGTAAAAATGAAACGAGTAAGTAAATTCATTATTTTTCTATTATTATTAGGTATTCTAGAGTATAAGGCTTCCAATAATTGTTCTTTTAATGAAAAGTACAAAGTAGTGTTTTTTCATTTTTTTTACACATTCTTAAGAGTCGTCAGTTCTTAGAACTTTGAGAATAATGAAATATTTTTAGTTAGCTTACTTAGTATAAAGCATTATTTTAGTTTATTGTGGACACTTTTAATACTTATAGTCATGAAGAATATATGGACAGATATTATTTTACTAAATAAGTATAAGTTTATATTTTTGCTTTAAAGCAGGTAATAACATTTAAATGCAAAATGAGTGTGACAAAGTTTTATTTTTTAATTGAGGTATAATTGACATATTAGTTTCAAGCCCACAACATAATGATTTGATAATTGTAGATATTGTGAAATAATCACCACAGTAAGTCTAGTTAACATCTGTGACCACACATAATTACAGAAACTTTTTTTGTGAATAGGACTTTAAGATCTACTTATTCCCTTAGCAACCTTCAAATATGCAATGCATTGCTGTTAACTATTGTCACCATGCTGTATATTACATTCTCCAAGTTCTGTTTTTTACATCACTTTTACTGGGGCATAATTTACATGTGATGAAATTCTCCCATTTTAAGTCTTCATTGAATTTTGACAAATGTATGTATACATGTAACTACCACCACAGTCAAAATTATATATATTCATATATGATTATATATGTGTGTGTTTTTACCTGGTTATAGTTTTACATTGGAATTATCTCATCTATGTTGTTATTTTGAGAGGTTATTAAGGAAACACGTGTGTGCACTCTCACACAGAAATACGCACTGACTACACACAGTCGTCATTCCTGCGGCGAGGATGCCTGGGTCGAACAAGATGGTTCTCCCATTCTTAAAACAGAGTGTGTGTGTTTTATCTCTAAAATCACAGATTATTATTAACAAAAAAATGCCTATTTTCAGGATGACCTCAAAGCAACATTAACAGCAAGGAATCGAGAAGCTAAACAGTTAACTCAGTTAGAAAGAACACGTCAGCGAAACCCATCTGACCGACATGTTATTGTATCCTTTGAATTCTGGTCTTTCAAAAAACATTTTGTGAGGTATGCAGTACAAAAGTAAATATATATGGAAATTATGCACTTCTACTTTTAAACGTGCAGAGAATTTGAATAGAGTTTGAAAAGAAATATGCATTTATGAATTCTCACTGTAGAATTTAGATAACTTTAAAGAAAATACAACCACTTAATTTGGTCCCCTTATATTGTCTTCCACAATATGTATTCAAAAAGTAAAACAGTCATAAATGTAGGTGTTTTTATAAAGAGTAAGTTCAAAATTCTGAGATTTGTTTCACACAATGACTAAGTGTTAATTATAAAATTAAAGATGTATCATTAATTGTAATTTAGCGATTACCATCTGTCCTGCTTTTGAGAAAAGGAAAAATTTTTTCGCCAGTATAATTCCCTTTATCTTAAAAACAAACAGACAAAAAATGCTATGTGAAACCATGATTATGACCTCAGCCAAAACTTTGAGGAGACTCAAGAGAATAATTGATCCACAGCTGGACACTAAGTGATTTAGGCAGGAGTGTCTACTGTAAAGTAAGGAAGTTCTTCTGTTAAGAAGTAACTGTTTTCTCAAAGTGGATTGTGCCTTGTTCTTGGTTAAACACAAGAACAGAACGTTGTGCCTTGGCTAACTGCCAGCACCTGGGATAGGTGCAGTTGTATTGGAAGTACTAACTTATCCCACTGCCTCTTTTTCCCATTCCTTTATGTCTCCTTCCTACTTCTTTAAGGTTTTCACTGCCCAGCTCAGCCAGAAAGCACATGAGGAGTGGCTCTTTGGGGGCATTTGAGGTTCCAGAACACCTCCATTCCTGAGGTGAATCCCTTGAGCAGTGATTTGGGGCTGCGCCAATTGCCTGGTCCTCCTTCCTTTGGACCAAAGGTACATAGTGCCCAACCTTGTAATTAAAAAAAAAAAAAAGGGCAGCCACAGGGCTGGAACAGGAACATCTAGACAGTACTTGAGAGTTAAGATCTACAAACTGGAGATTATAAAGTCTAGGTTTTAAGTAAATCAGACAAGCCAGAGAATGATGGAAAATTTATGACTGACAAATAGGGACTAAGGCAGAGGCCGGGGAAGGTCACTAGTTTTTGAGAATTAAGCCAGAGGTAAAATTTCTGTTGTTTAATAGAAGAGTACGTAAAGGCAGGGGAAAATGGCACATCTGGAATCCGAGTGGTTGGCACGGTTGAATGAAGGGTATTAGTATTGACACTCAACATAGAAATGAATCTTTTCCTAAAACAAAGATGTTACAAAGATGACTTGGAAACCATTTTTTAAACACTGCTGTGCAGGAAGCAGGTCTGCAGACTTATATGGGGAGAAAAATGCAACAACTGAATAGCTTATTGCTATAGGTGAATTGCTATGCTCACTGGGAAGAAAACTCTGTGAATCCAATGGATTTTGACAACCTGAGACAAGAAAATAAAGTATAATCTACATATAAATGGATTTGATATAAATATATTTTATCATAGCATGACAGAATATTTACGAGGCTAGGCCCTTAAAATTCACTGACCTATTCAAAAGAAGCCCGTTAAAGTTCAGTATGCACTGTATTTTGGCATGTATAATGTGCACTATTTTGCCCAAATTTTTGAGGGAAAAATAAGGATGTGCATTTTACATGGGTAGTACTAATTCCGTATCTATATAAATGTTTTTAATTCTCTTATTTATGCTTATGTGTTAAAAGTCTAACTCTAGAAAGCAATAACTATCCATATGCAAAATAATACCCTGGAATTCCATCATCGGGTTTTTTTCTAAATATAAATAAATTAAATTTAAAAATTAAAACAAAAGATTTTTTTCCTGAAAGTCTGGACCGAAAACATGGGTGTGCATTATACATGGCAAAGTACAATAAAAATAAAATGGAGTAGTTCTGGTACAAAAGGATGAGGTAAAGAATCGCAGGGGTACTGCCCACTCACCCCCAGAACCCCTGGTTGCTTCTGAACAAGCCGCCTACAACACAATCGGAAAAACATCAGTCTAGCTCACCCTTTTATAAGCCATTTTGCACTCATGAGTACTTTTATTAAATATACTAATATTCATAAAGTCATGTAGTATTTTATTCAAAACCATTTCCTACTCAAATTGGCACCTTATAAATCTTAAAAGGAAGAAACAAATCTATACCCACTTTGTTAAAAATAGCTGCGTAACTTTGGGCAAGATGCTATGCTGGAACCAAAGGATTTGAGATTTTAAAACATGAAGAGGAGTTTTTGAAGGGTGGTAAATTAAGATACCTATGCCCCAGCTGTCTCTTCTGCTTCCCCATTTGTTCATTTAGCCAAATTTGCCTACTCTTCCAAAATTTAAAATGAACCATTGATATATGGTGAGGGGAAAGACATAAAAGTCAAAAGAAAATATTCACAAGTAAATAATTGCATGAGTCGCATGTAGTAAACAGTATTAAGAAAGAGTCTAGCCCTGGCCAGTGTGGCTTAGTGGATTGAGTGCCAACCTCAAACTAGGTCGTTAGTTCGATTCCTGGTCAGGGCACATGCCTAAGTTGTGGGCCAGGTCCCCGGATGGGGCATGCAAGAGGCAGCCAGTTGATGTTTCTCTCCCTTTCTCCCTCTTGTCTCCTCTCTCTAAATCTTTTTTTTTAAGAAAAATTAGTCTGCTTGAAACTCTCATTAGTAATAAAAGGTTAACATGCTTCAAATAACTAATTTTTTCATACTAATGGGTCTTCAAAGAAGCTTTATTTTATTTTTGAATTTCCTGTGAAGTTATATTTTTTAAAAGTCCCCAGCCCAGTAATACAGAGAACTGTTTTTGATTACTAGGTATGATTAAAGTTAAAAGTTTATATGGTTTTAAAAAATTTTACGCCTTTTATGGAAAACTCAATACACACACAGAGGTATAAAAGAATGTATTTTTAAAAGCTTAGTATCTTGAAATTGTGCTTGAATTAACCCAATTGTCAGAGTGTACACTCAGTATACAGTTATAATTAATGTATAATTTAATTGTAAGAGTACATGATTTTAATTTATTGAAAAAATTGTTCTCTTTGAAATGTATTTTTTCCTTTATGAAGAATTTCAGTCACAGGTGGGTAATAAAGTGGTGTGTCGAGATGGATCCTTAGAGTAAACCATTTTACTTATTTCAATTTATATATTTTCTTGAAAAAGAAAGCAAGGGCTAAATGTCAATATTGTGTGTCAAGTACATTAATGACAGATGCAGATTTTTCTCACGAGTTATCATTAAATGATGATGTGTGATACTTTTGAGGAAACACAGTACTAGCATAGGACATAAAACTTTATTAGAAAGAAGTGAATCCAAAAATTGGACTTTTAAAATGTTACTATTTTTTAAAAATCTTAAATATTTTAGTTAACTACTTTCCTAAAGAAAGACTTGCTTTTTTAAAAGAAATGCATGATTAAATTGGAAATGTTCTGCACTATACAGTACTGTAGCCACTAACTATATATGGCCATTGAGCTCTTGAAATGTGACTAGCGTAACAGAAACTAGATTTTAAATTTTCATTTAATTTAACATTGAATAGCCACATGTGGCTAGATAGTATGAGCACTTACTAGAGTACATGAAGTGTTAGATTTGTTGTCTAATTTAGTAGTTGCTGGTATATATACTTCTTGTAATAGGTATTAACTAAATAGTAACTGTACTATTGTTAACTTATAATATACAAACAGAAACCTGATGCTGAAATAAATATTTGTAGTGTATATTCTACTCTATATATTACAGAATTAGAAACATTGAATGCATTTGAAGAACTAGAAATTTGAAAATACTTAAATCACAAGCCCTTTATTTGGGGGGGAGATAGGGTTAAAGGGGAGAGAAGTGATAAGAAAAAAAAGAATAGTATGATAAATGGCACAGACAGTGAAATAGGTGAAAGCAGTAGAAAAATACAGACAATTGTTTTTATAGTAAATCATCCAAGGGTGATGTAGGGAAATAATGATTTTGTAGAAGGAAAGGGAGGAGTTTTATTTTCGTTTGTTTGAGATCTTGAGTCATGTCACTTAATAGATTTAACATTCTTGATTCTGCATGTGCTTATAATATAGATCACTTTATTTTATGTGGCTAAATTTTATCAAACATTACACTGTTATGCCAAAAAGCCAATAGAGTCAAATAAATGGATTCCGACTTAATTTTTTTGCATATCTTTTGTTGGGCAATACTTCTGTAGGCAGAAACAGAATTACAGAGAGCTACGATGGATGCTACCCGAACAACTCGTCACCTGGAGGAAACTATTGACAATTTTGAAAAACAGAAAATAAAGGATATAAAGGTAATAGAGTATATGCTAAGGTACAAAGCATGTTCTTAAACCTTACTTTGCTTTAAATTTGTGAAAAATTTACTGATTTTTTAATTTTTTAATTACATTTGCCATTCAATGTTATTTTATATTAGTTTCAGGTATACAGCATAGTAGTTAGACATATATATAACTTAGAACGTAATCCCCCATCTGACACCATATATAGTTATTATATCATTGACTACATTCCCTAAACTATAAGTCCCTGTGATTATTTTTGTAAGTACCAATTTGTACTTCTAAAAACCTTCACCTTTTCACCTTCTGGGATTGCAAATTGGCATAGCCACTATGGAAAACATTATGTAGGTTTCTCAAAAAATTAAAAATAGAACTACCTTATGACCCAGCAGTTCTACTTCTGGATATTTATCTGAAGAAATCCAAAACACTAATTCAGAAAGGTTGCATGTACCCTGTGTTCATTGCAGCATTTTTACAGTACCTAAGAAATGGAAGGAACTTAAGTGCCTATCAATAGATGATTGGATAAAGAAGATGTGGTACATACATACAGTGGAATAGTACTCAACCATAAAAAAAGAATGAAGTTTACCATTTGGGACAACAGATCTATTATTTCTTTCTGAAATAATTCAGACAGAAAAAGACAAATATGATTTTGTTTATACATGAAATATCAAGAACAAAATAAACTAACAAATAAAACAGAAACAGACCCATAGATACGGAGAATAAATTATTCTGATTTTTTAGCCCATATTCTGCATGAAAAAGATATAAAAATATATCAAATGTTATTTTCTTATGGAAAAAATAGTATAAAAGTTCTACATTCAACCAGAGGCCAGATTTTCAACTTTTTATCACAAATACTATTTAATCAAAGGGAAATAACATTTATTATTTTTTTATGTATCAGGTGCAATTCCAGGCACTTTATATAAATTATCTTTTCATCTTTACAGCAACTCCATGAAAATGAGTTGACATTAACCATATTATGTAAAATAATTTTTTGAACTATAAACCAATTATGCATTTTAAAAATCTGCGCTTCCCCTTCTAATACAAATACACTATTATTAATTTTTTAATTATTTTATTGATTATACTATTACAGGTATCCCAATTTTCCCCCTTTGCCCTCCTCCTCCTGGTACCCACTTCCCTCCAGCATTCCCCACTTAGTTCATGTCCATGAGTTGTACATGGGTTCTTTGGCTTCTCTATTTCCTGTACTATTCTTAACCTCCGTCTGTTTTCTACCTACCAATTTTACTTCTTAATCACTGCACCTTTTTCCCCCTTCTCCTCCTTTCCCCATCCAGCTGATAACTCTCCAAATGATCTCCATATCTATGATACTGTTCCTGTTCTGCTTTCCTTAGTTTGCTTTTTTTTAGATTCAGTTGTTCATAGTTGTGAAATTATTGCCATTTTAATGACCATACTTTTGATCTTCTTTTTCTTAAATGAGTCCCTTTAACATTTCATGTAATAATGGCTTGGTGATGATGAATGCCTTTAGCTTTACCTTTTCTGGGATGCACTTTATCTGTCCTTCCATTCTAAATGATATAGCTTTGCTGGATAAAATAATCTAGGTTGTAGGTCCTTATTTTGTATCATTTTGAATACTTCTTGCCAGTGCCTTCTAGCCTGCAAAGTTTCTTTTGAAAAATCAACTGGTAATCATATGGTAACTCCTGTGCAGGTAACTCTTTGCTTTCTCTTGCTGCTTTAAAGATTCTGTCTTTATCTTTAACCTTTGGCATTTTAATTATTATACGTCTTGGTTTGGTCCTCTTTGGGTCCAACTTATTTGGGACTCTCTGTGCTTCCTGGACTGTATGTGTTTCCTTCACCAAATTAAGGAAGTTTTCTTTCATTATTTTTTGAAATAAGTTTTCAATTTCTTGCTCTTCCTCTTCTCTTTCTGGCACCCCTATGAGTCAAATGTTGGTATGTTTGGAGATGTCCCAGAGGCTCTTTATACTATCTTTTTTTTTTTTTTCCAATTACTTCTTCTTGCTACTCTGGTTGAATGCTTATTTCTTCCTTATGTTCCAAACCATTGGTTTGAATCCTGGCTTCCTCCCCTCCACTGACGGTTCCCTGTAGATTTTTCTTTATTTCACTTAGGGTAACCTTCTCTTTCTCCTTTATATTGTTGCCATACTCGATGAGTTCTTTGAGCATCCTGATCACCAGTGTTTTGAACTCTACATCTGATAGCTTGCTTATCTCCATTTAATTTAGTTCTTTTTCTGGGATTTTGTTCTGTTCTTTCATTTGGGCCATATTTCTTTATCTCCTCAATTTGGCAGCCTCCCTGTGTTTGTTTCTGTGTATAGGTAGAGCTGCTTTGACTCCCTGTCTTAGTAGTGTGACCTATGGTAGAAAAGGCGCCTGTTAATTGTATAGGGCAGAGCCTTAGGTAATCGTCAGGATGGGGCAACCCATTTCACCACTTTGTGGCTCCGTCAGGGGAGGGATCGGAGAGGAGACAGAGCCACTGCATGGCTTCTGGAGGTTTGCATGGCACTCATCCTGTTTCCAATCACTTCACCCACTTCCCTTATGCAACTGATGCCCTTCCAGCTATTGTCCAAGTGGTGAATCCCAAAATGGGTTTGGAGACATTCTAAGTTTGTGTAGGCCCTTTAAATGGAGTTGTCTGAAAATCCAGCAGTCTTTTTTTGCCGCCCCAACTCCCACTGGTTTTTACAGCCAGAAGTTAGGGATTTATCTTCCTGGTGCTGCAACCCTGGGCTGTGTGGTCTAGCCTGGGGTGGCAATGCTCACTCTCAAGGTTTCACCCCCAGTTTTTATCCACCATATGTGAATTTGAGACTGTCCACTTTGCCACTGCTGCCACTTCTCTGCGCCACACTGCATCTCTTCCAGTCTCCATGACTCTGCCCCTCCTACCGGACTGGATGAAGGTAGCTTCTCTAAATCCTTAGTTGTTAGATCTAGTTGTAATTCTTTCTATGGTTGGTTATACAAGGAGGTGAAGCGTCCTCATCTTCACTGAAGTCCCTATTATTGTTATAGCATAAAGCTTTCTAATAACTACATAGTATCAAATAAATAGGGTAAGAATGTAATTTGCAACCACTAATCATGTAAACTTGCAACAACTGTGATAAGGTGTCACAGAATTGCCTTATAGTATTGTGACACATTAATAAATATGAAAACTCTAGGATCATGGATTCCAGAAGGTCTTCAGTGACTTTTTCAGAGGCATCTTGGAAAGATTTGGAGGATTGCTTATGACCACATCATGTCCCTTAAAACAAGTCATCTAAGGATGTTTTTTTACTGCAAATTTTCCTGGAACAAGTTTTCAACAAAAGTATTTGCCCATTTTACAATTAACAAGAAAACATCCTGTTTTCCCAAGTTATGTTCTTATCAGTAAGCAGTTATTTGCCACTTACTTATATCACTCCTCTCTACAAATATGTAAAATAAAATCCATTATACCTAATTTTTTTATTGGATTTCAGAACTTTGTTTATTCTGATGGCCAGGCCCAAAGCTCTCTGGTTTTATCCTGACAAAAGTTTTTAGAGCCTCTCAATTCAGTTTGCATTCTGCTGTGTAATGGTAGATTGCTACAGATGAAAGGCATCTCAGGAAGCTGCCCTGAGACAAACGTCTTTCCTGAGATGAGAGTATGACTAACAGATATAAACCTGAAAAATTAGTGAAAACTTGTGAGGTATGCCTGATTTCATCTGCTGATTTAAGCTACTGAAGGGCTTCTTTAGTGATGGGAGTCTTGATTTCTGGTTCTCACCAGTGTTCCTCAGACCTGCAAAATTTTCTTTTACCCATGGCAGTCTGTCTCTGATCTTTGGGCTCACTTCAGTGTTCCTCCTGCATGCCGACTACCTCTACAGGTGCATTTAACACCAATTACAAAACTAGGGCAGAGTGAGTGCGTGCTGAATTCCCAACTACAATTCCTAATACCTGGGTTTTCCTGAAGCAATAGGACATGGAGAAAGGAACTGCACATTGGAGGGTACACAGAGAAGGAAAGGGCTTCCAAGTCTTTCTTTGCCTGCAGTATCATGCAGTGGGAAGAGGGAAGTCTCCTGGCGGTCACAAAAAGACAAGAAGAAACCTACTTTTTAAAAAATTGACATGGTACATCATATACCACACAATTAACCCATTTAAAAAGTGATTTTTTTGTGTGTTCAGATATGTGCAGCCATCACTACTCAATTTAGACCATTTTCACATTTTCCTCATCTTCAGAGTGAAACCTGGTACATTTAGCTTTTACTTCCGTTTCCCGCTCCCACACCCCTACCCCAGCCCTAAGCAACCTCCTCTCCTCTCATGTCCTCCACTCTCATGTATGAATTTGGCTATTCTGGACATTTCATATGAATGAAATCCTAAAATACATGATTTTTGTAACCGGTTTCCTTCACTTAGCATAATGCTTTCAAGGCTCATCCGTACTGTAGTATGTGTTCGTACTTATTGCCACATTTTACTTATCCACTCATCCAGTGAGGGGCATTTCTGGTGTTTCTACCTTTTGGTTGCTGTGGTTAATGATATTCATTAACAAGTTTTTGCATGGACATGTATTTTTATTTCTCTTAGGCATATACCTGGTTGACTTGCTGGATCCTATGGTAAATTCTTATCATTTTAGAAACTGCCAGACTGTTTTCCAAAGTAGCCACACCACAAGTATGAGGGTTCCAGTTTCTCGGCATCCTCACCAATCCGTTCATCAGATTTTTTCCTTATAGTCATCCTAGTGGGTGTGAAGTATTTCCCTGTGGTTTTGATTTATATTTCTTGCTGATGCTAACTGGCTATTTGTTTTTCCTTGAAGAAATGGCTATTCAAATTCTTCATCTATACTTTAGTTGGGCTGTCTTAATATTGAGTTATAAGAGTACTTTGTATATTTTGATATAAGTTCCTTATCAGATGTATAATTTGCATTTTTTTCCTATTCTGTGGAT